ATGTATCTGATGCAGAGCAGAAGCTTATGAGCACATTTCCTCTACTTGAAGTGTATACTGTCCTTGTGAACCAACCTGACAATTGTGGCAAACCTAGAAAGTCCATATCAAATTTAATCTATCTATCTTCTATCTATTTTCTCCTTCCTTCCTTCCTTCCTTCCTTCCTTCCTTCCTTCCTTCCTTCCTTCCTTCCTTCCTTCCTTCCTTCATGTTTTTAGGGTCTCTCTCTCTCTGTCATCTAGGCTAGAGTGCAGCGGTGTGATGATAGCTCACTGCACTCCTGAGTTCAAGTGATCCTCCTACCTCAGTCACCCAAATAGCTAGGACTATGGGCATGCCACCAAACCACACTAATTTTTTTTTAAATTGTAGATATGGGGTTTCACTATGTTGTCCAGGCTGGTCTTGAATTCCTGGCCTCAAGCAATCTTCCTGCCGCAGCCTCTCAAGGCACTGGGATTATGGCATGAGCTACTACCTCTGGCCAACCTTCCTTTCTTTCAGAAGTCCATTTTTTTTTTGTCATCCTGAGATGCCCTGTGTCTCTTTCATGTCTTTTTTTGTCCTTGTTTCCAAAGAGAGAGAAATGTGGATTCTAGAGTCACAGTTGCTTTTCTTTTTTTTTTTTTGAGTCGGAGCCTCACTCTGTCACCCAGGCTGGAGTGCAGTGGCATGCTCACAGTCACTGTAGCCTTGACCTGCTGGGCTCAGGTGATCCTTCCATCTCAGCCTTCCAAGTAACTGGAACTACAGGCATGTACTACCATGCCCGGCTAATTTTTTGATTTATTGCAGAGATGAGGTCTCACCAAGTTGCCCAGGTGGATCTTGAACTCCTGGGCTCAGGCAATTCTCTCGCTTCCATCTCCCAAAGTGCTGGGATTACAGGCTTGAGCCACTGTGCTCTGCTAGAGTCACAATTTTGAATCTGTAAAGATGAGTGTGTTGCTAGTTTCCTTAGGAATCCTCACTGTTGCTGCTTAGGACTGGCTTTGAATGGTAGTTAAATGACACAGACAGGACCCTGAGGTGAAGTAGAGTTGGGGAGCCATCAAGGGTTTCCTTGCTGGTGAGGTTAAGGACACTTTCTGATCTCTAAAGAATCGGGAGCAAATCCAAGGAACCAACCTTGTGGTTTAAATCCATCTTCAGAGGTGTAGTCACTACAGTCCAGAGGAATTGCGACGATGCTCTGTGCTCCCAGCAGCCACAGCATTCATTGCCTCTTTGTGAAAGTTGTTCAGGAGACGACTTGAGTTGTCTTAGGAGCATAGAGCATCTTTTCCAAAATACAGTATGCCCTTGGACATGGCTTCCAGACCTGCTAACTTTCCACCCCTGTGGTGAGCAGATGGACACTGTGAACACTGACTGGATGAGAAGGCAAAAATAAAAAGTGAAGTGGAGAGTTCTGCCTTTCTTGCAGGCTCTATGCCTGTTGTCACCACCATGTGTCCTGCTCTGGTGCCCTCAGAGCAGACGTGAAGAACATGCTTTTTTGGACTACTACTGTGTGTCTGCCTTCTGCTGAGGAAGGTTTAGCATGAGGGCTCACTGTCGGACTCGGTAGATGGCTTGACTCCATTCTCTGGGTAAGATACATCCTTGACCAAGGGCTCGGATTTCGTGAGCCCGAGACGTAGGCAATACTGATAAATCTGTGAAGTTTTTAATTGACTCTTGCCAGGTTTTTCTTCTTTTTTTCTATCCTCCATTCAAGTAGTCAAAATGGTGGCCCCTCTTCACATCCCTACTTCTTCAGTTAGCGAAAGAAACTTATATGCGACTTCTGCGTTAACTGGGGATAATCATTCTAAAGAATCCTTTAAAACCTAGTCTCTGAAAGTAGTTGCACATTCTGACATCTATAGGTAAACTTATTTCTTCTCAATAAAATAAGAAAAATCTCTGATTGGAAACTTATAGGACTCAAAGAAGGCTTACTCTGTGTTTATGTTAGTCACCTATGTAGTCGTGGGTATATTAAATTAGTTCTTTTTTAAATGCTATTTTTATAGCATTAAGATTACTGAAAACAGTGGTTTCCTCTTGACATCCTTCTGGTGTGCGAGCCTAGAATGAGCTCAGCCTGCAGGAAGTGGAGTGAAGATTTACTGGTTGAGTAAAAAGCCAAATGACAAGTAGCAGCTGTTTGACAGTTATTTCCTTCTTTCAAGAATTATCATGGTATTAGATTTTCTGTAGTTAAAATACATATTAGGGGAGAGAGATAATCTCTGTGGGACATTATCACATTCTTTTCCAAAATATTCTTCTTAAGTCATCTCGGTTTCTTCTAACTTCTAAACAAATTGTCCATCACTTGAATGAGACCTCAGAGGCTCAAATGTTTGTAGACTTCTTCATGGCCAAGAAAATGCATAGAATGATTTATTTATAATGAGTTTTCATAAAAGCACAAGTGGGTGAGGGTTTCTGCTTCCTATAATAAGTACTTAGTGGCCAGCAACATCAGTTGTGATCTAATCTTTGGCATGGGAAGATGATTTTCTGACAGATTCACAAAGTCATGGAATGTTTTATGCTGTGGAAGGTGCCTTCTCTGGCGTCAGAAGACAAAGATTCCTCTGGAGACTACTGTGGTATAGAAGAACGTGTGGTTACAGGAAGTAATCTTCTCCTTAGCTGGAACTTCTAGCTTACAACACATGTCCCTTCTTTCTAAATCAGACACTTGATTGAGTCCTTTCTGCAATGGAGGACAAGTGCCAGTTTGTCCCTAGCCAGCATTCTTTTCCTGGCTACTCTCCAGGCTTAGAGAGTGTTCCCTCTCTTCATTCCATCACCGCAGAAGCCTAGTCTTTGGAAAAGTCATATTTAATTTACAGGGTCCTGGGCTTACTTATTTTACCAAACCCATTCATCCAATAAAGAAGATTTTTTAATGACTGTCATTAATAATTAATTCTGCCATCAGTTTCTTGGTCTCTGTTATTGCAACAGCACTGGCCGTATGAGATGTCAAGGCATCAGCTGTTGTTGAGATGAAGTGTCAGGACCACTGAGCTCTGATATTCAGGGGATGTGCACAATTCCCGTTGCATTGTTTGAATGAGTATGATTCCTGGATCCTGCCTGAGACTGCAGTCAGATTCTACTGGGCTCTGATGGACAGCGCTCCCCTGGCTGATAGGACTTCGTAGGTCTGACCATAGTGGTGTAACTGAAATGACTTTCTTCTGCTCTGCCTTTAATAACACTTACTCTTGGGCTTAGTTATCGCTAGCTTATCTTCTCATCTTCAGAAAATTACCTGTTGGCTGCAGGTCATTCTTCCTATGAAAAATAGGCATTTAGAAAACAGTCGCCAATATTAGGCAGTCTGGTATGGAAAGACATTTTGAAGAAGCAGAAAAATAGCCTTTCTGACATAGCAACGCAGCTTTTGACTGCCTCAGCCGCTTCATATTACAGAAACAAGTAACAGTTGGCTTTCCTTCTGTTTCTAGAAATCGGGTGGGATTCTTACCCTCTCCAGCTGTTCAGCCCTTGCTCTGCTGCAGGACTCTTCCCCCACCCAGCAGGGTGTGCTGCTTTCCATTGGATTCCGTGAGCTCTGCTGTGTGATGGTCTTGCACACTGGCTGTGGCCCAGGTCATTGCCTGTCTTCCCTGTCTTCTTCCAAATACCATATGCAGGTGTTTAAACAGGTTCTTGGGTTGCTCCCCAGGCATAGAGCTGAGTCTTTTGGACTTATACTATGTGAGTAGCCTAAAAGGAATGGTCTGACCTGGAGGAGGTGCTGTCTAGTATCAAGTAAACAATTCACTTCAGGCAATCTGGGATGCAGGTAAGTGCTACACGTCTCTCCATAGTACTTTTATGGTGGGGATCATTTCAGACCTTTGGAATAGTCCAGTTTCCAGATGACTTCTCTATGATTGTCTTGCAAATATACCAGGATAAAGGCATATTTAGAAGACATATGGCAAAGAGTACAGACCAGACCTCTGGCTCTATAGCGAGGTGCAGGAGGGGTATGTTTTCAGAAAACTGCTTGTATAGCATCTTAGTGTTTCTTGGCACATTGTCAGTGCTCAGTAAATGTCAGTGCTCAGTAAATCATGACCAGTATTATTATTTAGAATTCAATGGGAGAAGTTAGTTGGAGATTTCTCAGTTGGGATAGAATACACTCTTCAAATTTTTTATTTTTTAAAAGTTATAGAGATATACTTTAAGACTGTAAATAAGTTGTCTCTAGTTGAAATGAGTAGTTAATTCTTTCTACAATTTACTCCTGATATAGCAGGTGACATTAGTCCTTGCTTTTAGTCTTAGAGGTCATTAATAGGACTGTTTCTTTTTTTTTGAATTGGAGTCTCACTCTGTCGCCCAGACTGGAGTGCAGTGGCCGCTGGGCGACTTGGAAGGCTGGGCGACTTGGAAGGCTGAGGCGCTGGCGATCCTTCCGCCTCAGCCTTCCAAGTAGCCAGAATTACAGGCATGCGCTACGACGCCCGGCTGATTTTTTTGATTTATTGTAGAGATGAAGTCTCGCTGCCCAGGCGGGTCTTGAACCCACGGGCTCAGGCAATCCACTCACCTCAGCCTCCCAAAGGCACGGGATTACAGGCTGAGCCACCGAGTCCGGCTAGGACTGTTTCTTACCAACCTGTTAGGGCATCACGAAATGCTTTACCTACTCAGGGCCTATTCTGTGGGCCCAAGCAGTTAGAAATTAGAACAGGAGGATTACTAACAGGCTATCCCTTCTGTACTGGTGCTATCCTTCTGATTATATAAATTCTTGTGTCTATGTTTGTACATTCTTAATTTTTTTTCATTTTATTTTAAAACATCCTATGAGGACCTCCCCTACCTGAGTTGTAAGATCGATGTGGACATTCTTCATGATATTTAACATGGGTTTTCCTTTTCTTAGTTACACTGCATGGTCTCTACATAATTATTCCTTCTCCTGGAGAAGGGTACCTACCAAATATTTACGCATATCCATGTTTATTTTCTTGCAGTCGAACTGGCAATGATCATGGACCGTTTGTACGGGGGTGTCTGCTATGCTGGCATTGATACGGACCCAGAGCTGAAGTACCCCAAAGGTGCTGGCCGCGTAGCGTTCTCCAATCAGCAGAGTTACATTGCGGCCATCAGCGCTCGCTTTGTGCAACTCCAACACAATGACATTGACAAGCGGGTAAGCAGCTACTTAGGATGAAATGATTATGCGGAAGAAACAAAGGTTGTTCTCTGGGCCCCTGGGGAGAAAAGTACCTTGTGATCATAAGTGAGCAGCTATACCTCATGTAGGATTACTCCACGAGTCCGTCTAGGCTGCCTGGAATAGACAGCGTCCTCGGTACTGAAGGCGTTAATGAACTTTCTGTCTCACCCATCCCCGGAGTGATGTTACACTTATGAAAATAACCCTGCAGAATTTAGCAGACCAAACCAGTGCTGTTCACAAGATGACACTAACAGTGCATTAAGAGGTTGAGAGCTGGTGACCTGTTTGGCCTACATAGTGCACTTAAAGACAAACAAACATACTTGGATCCACATTTAGATTTTCAGGTGTACACGTAAAATGCTGAACTTCTGGTTTCTCTTAACATCACAAGACCACACATGGCCATGGTCATTGGAGCCAGATGGGTTCTGTCCCCGTTTGTCTCCCCTTCGGCTCCCCCTGTTTCTCCCACTCACATCATACACGCATGTGCATTACCTACCACTTTGTTCATCGGTGTTACTTGCTTGGTCTCCAGCGTGTGCTGCCTCTGATCTACTATGGGGCCATGAAGTAGAGTTGCAAGGAGTGGATGTGCTTGGTTGGTTTTGCGGGTAGACATGGGCTTAAATCCTTTACATCCTAGCTTTGCCACTCTTTGGCAGTTTAGGGGAGTGGTAGGAACTGACCTGGGGCCTGTATTAATAAATGAACAAGTAGGAGGACAGCACCAAGTCTTGGACATTTGCCCTATGACTGTACAGTGGCTACAGATGCTTTCAGAAAAGGATGTTCTTGGCGCATCCACTGAATTGGAGTTGATAAAGGAATACAAATGTTCTATTATATGGTTTCACCTATACCCCCCCACAGCCAACTCTGACTAATTTTGAGTAGCAAACAAGTTTCTCAGGAGGCGAAAATTTCAACTGGTGATGGATTATATTTTCATGAAGACATATATATCTGATCAAGCTACAAAGTCAGGGCTTAGAATAAGCATCCTAGTTGCTCTATCACTGGGCTCCTTTAGAGTAAGTGGTAGTGATTTGTTCTTTAATTAAAATGAATAAAGTAACTTTTTAAAGAATTTTAAGACACTCTTTAAAAATTAATGGAGATTCAAAGGGGTGAGAACAATTCAACTCTGTTCCTGGTTCTGAACTTCCCATAGCAACCTGAGCATGTTCTTTTCAAATGGTCATCACCCTCAGAGACTGTAGGCTTCACAGAGACAGACGTGGTGTGGGTCTCGTTCTTGGCCTCACCTCAGTGCTTACTCCGGGCTCGATTCAGTCTTAGATGCTAGATAAACTTTTGTTGAATGAACACATGGTGCTCCTCGGAGGGTTCTTTTAACTACTCCTGCTGTTGCTGGTGGACTTGCTTGTGCCTGTACAATTGGGAGACTGACCTAACAGACTCCATTATGCTGAGACTGCTGTTGCAACCATAACTGGTAAACCCAGGCCATAACTCAACTAGAACTTGTGTTCTCATCTGCGTGAAAGCAGTCTTCTTTGTTCTCCTCTGAAACCAGAGCAGGTGACTGTACAGGAAGTAGATTCTGGATACGGTAAGAGAAAACCTAGAGGAGAGCTCCATTTCCCATGCCTCTGCCTTCCCCTTGCCCCACCCTACCAGCCTCCTGGCCTGTCCCTTTGTTCCTTAGTAGAGGAAGGTACACTCGCCCCAGGAATTATATCGTCTTGAGTCCTTTTAAGAATCATAGTAAATTCAAGATGTGAGAGCAATTTGCCTGTGACATCTGTCACCCCATTGATCACCAGGGTTGATTTAGCTGATCTAGCTGGCTAGGCGAGTGCCCCCTCCCTCCCTCACCACTCCATATATGTCCCTCCCCAAGCTGAGTGCACAGTGGAAGAGGACAGCCATCCCCGCCAGAGGAAGATAGCTCTTTGGTCAAGAGAATACAAGTAGCTAAGCTCCCCTGCTAAAACCTCCAAACAAGCTCTCAAGAATCACAATAAGCCGGGCTCGGTGACTCAGTCTGTAATCCCGCGCCTTTGGGAGGCTGAGGTGAGTGGATTGCCTGAGCCCGTGGGTTCAAGACCCGCCTGGGCAGCAAGACCTCATCTCCACAATAAATAAAAAAAATCAGCCGGGCGTGGTAGCGCATGCCTGTAATTCTGGCTACTCGGAAGGCTGAGGAGGAAGGATCGCC